TTTTTCCTCCGTAAATTTTTTCAAATATTCAAATATGCACATTTTTCTTCCAGTTTCCCTCCTTCAAAATTTATATATTCAACAATGCAATTCTTTTTTTGCTGTTATCGTTGACGACAACCATAAATAGAAAAAAAAAAAAACAACAATACTGAGCACCGTCGAAACAGTATTTCTAGGTAATCAACTGGTTTCAATTCAATCTGTTGAAGAGATTGTAAAAGAAGCAAAAAAATGCTGATAATCACATACAAATCCAATTACAGCAGGTAATATTTAAAATTGAAAACTTACAATAATTTTTTGGAGCATTTTGAACATTTAAAGCAATAGTTATGGTAGAGACATTTGTTGGCAAAAATTCTTTCCACCGGATAAACTGTTTTGGAGCATACTGCACATTCTCGTGGCGCTTCTTCAGCAGTCATTTCAGGCTTCAAAATATGCAAAAGTTTATTTTCAGCCCCCATACTCTTTGTTGCTTTGTTCAAATTTATTCCGCAGAGAAACTCAAAAGAAAAAAAAAAGCCAAAATAAACTATCCTTTAAATATAGGTTTTTCTTCTCAATCGGCCAAAAATGAAAACAACTAAAAAGATTAACAAAACTGATACGACAACAATAAAATATTGAAATCAAACTGAATGACTCTAAAACAAGGCAAAAAATTTTTTTGTTTTGTTTTTCAAACCGATACAGCCAATACCTTAGCAAAAGCACTAAGAATACGCTTTTTGTCAGCTTCAGAACGTTCTACAACAATCTTCTCACGCTGTATTTCTGATTCCTCTCTTGGATTCTCAAATGCTCCTTTTATATTCATCAGATTTTCTTTACCCAAACCAGCCAATTCCAATTCTCGTTCCTTTAATCGTTCCTCCAAACTTTGTTCCAATGTTTCTGGCATTTTTTCAAACTGTTCTTTGAATTTCGAGTAAGTTTCCTAAAACAACGACATTGTCATTTTCATTATCATCATTACCATCATCATCATCAACAACAACAACAACAACAACAACAACAACAACAACAGCAATGACAGGGTTAGTAGTAGCAGTAAATAGTAGTAAGTAGTAGCAGTAGCAGTAATGACAGCAGCAATCAAGGCATCATCAATATGGACAAAAATATGTTCGCATTAATGTTTTTACACTATACAACTACGTATTTCTTTTTTCTTTTTTTTCGAAGAAAAGAAGAGAAACAATAAAAGCAAATAAGAGAAAAAAAATTTTTTTTGCTTTTTAAAACAATCAAAAATACATATATCTTTTAAATACTTTTTTAAACAAGTTTTTCTGCATTATTTTTTTTTTCTTTTCATTTTGTTGCGCATGATTTATTGCCTATTCATTTAAGCAATAATGATATAAGATGTAGAAAAATGAAAGAGCAAAAAAAAGCATATCTTCTCCTGCTTTTTTTTTGACTACAAAATATTCTTTTCAAAATTTAAAACATAAAATAATGACCATTTTTTGTTTATCTACTTGTTTTCTCCCACCAGCAGATTCTTCGAGAAATGATAGTAGAAACAAAAGTGTTTTAACTAAACAAAAAAAACTTACTTTTCCAATTACAGTTATAGGTTCCTTTTCCTTATCGGTTTTGCCAGCTTCATTTTTGGGCCCTGGAAAAAACGACATCATACAGTGGTGTTCAAGCGATCAACACTTAGGACACAGAATTGACCCAAACAGCTGAGTATATGAAGTGAAATTTTCAGATGTGAATACACTGAACAGTGAAGAACATTGCTCTCTTTCAGCAATCAAAAAATACAATTTTTTCCCTTCCCTCTTCTTTTCTTTTCCTCAGAATGAAAGCGTGAAAAACTGAGAAAGAAAATTAAAAAATCTTCACCTACGTTACGCCTTTTGCCATGAAATTCAAATTTTTTAACATTTTTGATAGCTTTATGAAAACAACTCATTGTTTTTGTTGGTGTTGTCGCTGTTGTTGATAGAAAAAAATTTGATAAACCACATCCAACAGTGTCCAGAAAACCTGTTGACGACTAAATTTCAGAGCAATAATCTTCTCCTGATGACAGCACAGAAACAGGCAAACCAAAAACTGAACAACTATCTCCTCAATCAACCAACAGAAATAAGGCCCAAACAACTGCTGCATAAATAATGAATTAATTTGCGTGATATTAATAATTATTTGATAATAACACTAAAAAAAAACACACAAAAAACCGTCAATTTTATTCCTTTCCACTCTCTCTCCTCCTTTCCGCCTTTTCTCCACTCCAAAATTTCCTGCTCCTCTTCTCTATCCTTGCCAAAATTGAAACTAAAATTAAAAACAGAAAAAAAAGAAATGCAGTACACCAAGGAATATAATAAATGCAATTTTTTCACCTTTTTCTCCTTTTCCTTTTATTAACCATCCGACAAAAATAAAAACATAACCATATTCATTTCAACAGACTAATTAAACAGAAGAAAAAAGAAACAAACTACCCTGATGGTACATTCGAAGCAAATTTCAAAAACATAGACCAGATAAACCGTTGATGATACAGATGACATTTACAGTCATCTAAGCAACACTGACATCAATAAGAGAGAAACATATAAAAAGAAAAAAAAAACTATCAACAAAAAAAATGTAGAAAAAGAACAACTTAGATAAAAGCATTCAATTTAACAGTGCATCTATTTTATTGTGTGTTCCTTCTTCTAAAGCAGAAAGAAAAAACACTAATAAATTTGCTAAATTTAATACCAATTTCTGGTAACAATTGAACAGTCCTTCACAGTCGTTCGACACGACTTGAAAAAA